GTCTATGGCTGCTGATCCACTGTGTACACCACCTTATTAGTAAGGCGATGATTTATATGCATGTCTCTCCAGATTGAGCAACATCCCTGAAACCACCAGGCGAGGAATGTTTCAAAGAGACAGTGATCACTGTTCAGATTGAACATGTCTGATTTTTCTCAGTTTTCACCTACCCACCGCAGAAAAATTAAATAAATTAAATAAAAATGCTGAAGAAACAGCATTGTTTTTGTTTTTTTCAAATCATTATTCACTGAGAGAGAGATGCAGATCATTTTTCTTGTTCCATTTTAGGCTTTGTCTTCAGGCTGTGGGGACTGCAGGGACCTGCTGCATCCATTATCCTTGTTCTATTTTGCAGCTGTTAGTAAGAAAAAAGATCAACTTTCAAGAAACGGTGAGTAGTGTATACACTGCATTCATCTGGGATTGTCCCGTTTATAAAGAGTGAATAAACCTTAACACAGTGCTGCACTATTGGGCTGTGTTTCACAGGAATGCAAAGCCTTCGAGTGCTGGGGCTGGTTTATTTCTGCTACCTCTTCCTGTTCTCTGGTCTGGAGTTCACCTTAAGTTTTCTTACTCACCAGCGTTTCCAGTTTACAAGGTATGAACTCAAAGAGAAGGCTGTGTACTCTGAGTTTCCCTTTTAAGTCTGACAAACAGCAACCTTATATTTTTCTCTCTAACAGCATGGAGCAGGGAAAGATGTTCTTCTTTATTGGTGTCATCATGGCTTTAATCCAGGGTGGTTATGCTCGCAGAATAAAACCTGGGCAGCACATCAGGGCTGTTCGTATGGTAAAGTCACCAACTGCTTGCATGACAAATACTGATCTAATGCCGTTGTTAGTGTTAATGGAACAGGATAAATCACTGCACAAATGTCTACCTTACTGAACCATTTTTCTTGTTTTTAGGCAATCATAGCATTGATCCCAGCCTTTGTAATCATTGGGTTATCGTGGAATGTAACAATGCTGTACATTGGGTTGTCACTGTATTCCTTTGGTGAGTCAAAATTACTGTATTCAAAATATGCAGTAACTCAGTTTCATCTGTCTTGTCTTGACAGCACCCAAGAATGTGTAAATAAATCTAAAAACTATGCGATAAACTACAGCCAAAATACATAACAGGACAGTACACTGTTAAAATAGAAGAACACTGCAAAGAACACTTTCAAGGATGCAGTAATTAAACTATTGCTTAAGAAGACTTTGCCTGATCCAGCTGTCTTAAGTAATTATAGACCAATCCCCATCCCTTCTCTTATTTCAAAAATTCTTAAATGAACAACTATAATATAGTCAAGCAGTCATTAGCAGAGGAGTGGTTTATCTGAAGAGTTTCAGTCAAATTTCAGAATGAATTATACTCATGTGGAGTTCCACAGGGTTCTGTACTGGGACCATTTCTATTTACATTTTACATTCTTCCCTTAGACAATATCATTAGTAAATCCTACTTACATTTTCATTGATATACAGATTATATGCCACTATATTTATAGCAAATTATGTAGCTAAACCACAGATATGTCTTACAGAACAAAGGCCTGGATGTCTGGATTTTTTTTTTCATTCATTTTCAAAATTGAGATAAAACTAATGTTATTATATTTGGCCCCCGAAATTTTAGAAACATGGTGTCTAACCTGATACTTAATCTGATGCAAAGTCCAGAAATCTAGGCGTTGTTTTGATCAGAATATGTGTGCATATTAAAGTAGGGATCCTTTTTTTTTTTTTTTAGTCTGCTCCCTAACAGGATATCACTTTAGTTTAAATACTTCGTGTTATTCTTATCAAGTCGTCCTCTAGCTTTTCTAAGAAGCAAAATATCAGATTGTTACTGTATTGTATGATATTGTGCTATATAGCATTTTACTTAAATGTCCCTAAATTATAAAATTGTTCCAACGTACTATGTATCCTATTCTTACAGCGGCTGCCATAGTTGTCCCCTGCTTGTCAACTCTAGTTTCTGACCATGGTGAGCCTTTTATCAAATCAAAGTATCAAAAATATTTTGATCCTGCTATAATGTTGATACTGTTGCTGAAACCCACTGTTGCTGATTCCTCTAGGCTCAGCCAGTCAGAAGGGCACTGTGATGGGGATTCTGCGTAGTTTGGGCGCCCTGGCCAGAGCGTTGGGCCCAGTTGTGTCCTCCTCAGGTGAGGAAACTGAAACTAAAGGATTATTCCATAGTGCTGCTTTTCTCTTGAAATGGTGCTATTTGAATTATTTGTTATATATTCATATTTGTTTTGTTTTAACTGATTTGTTTGCAGTGTATTGGATTGCTGGAGCACAGACCTGCTTTCTTATCACATCGGCCTCCTTCGTCTTGCCCTTAGCTCTTCTGGGCATAGCCAGGAGACTAAAAGAGGAATGAGCAACTTAAAGACTTAAAAAAAACCCTTGTGTTTCATTACCTACATTAATGCAATGATGTTTACATCTTCTGGGAAAGCAAGCACTAAATTCACAGTAATAGGATGTTTACTTTTCCATGCCATTGGCCAAAGATTAAAAAATGAAACAAAATGATATGAGAAGATGGTACAAATGCCAAAACGAATGAATGAACATAATGTTGTTTGTGTGTTCATATAGACCGGTGTGTATTGTAGACTGGGTGGGTTAGAAGGAATTCCATGTGATATTAGTGCTCCTGGTGCACAGATATTTTTGTAATGTTGTATTTTATTAATCACTAAGATTTTCTATTTTGCGAAGGATACTTTAGCATTAACACACATAAAACTTTTTGATGTTCTATTCTTTACTACAGAGAATAAAACATCAGTCCATGGCAATGAACAGTTATCTTTGAACCTTTTGTATATTTTTTCTAATTCATTCTATGTGAACTACACATTAAATACTGTACTCAAGTACAGCTTTGATCAACATCTTTATACTTTAGTATTTGGGTCTACTTAATGCTTTTGCTGCATACATTTTACTTCACAACATGTATCTAAAATACATTTTTAAAGGTAAGATATGTTTTTGATATTTTTTTAGTATATAAAAATAAAGATTACAATCTTTATTCTTGGTAAATGCAAAAAAGGGAAATTCTTCATGAGTTTTGTTTTTTAATCTGAGTTTAACTTGATTTATTCTGAACATAGTATACACAGTTCGATGCTTTCATATCAAGAAAACTAAAATAAATGTAAAGTCCAGTTAAAACAAAGGAAAGTGTAAGCACCATCCATGAAAATCCTTATACTCCATGTACGATATGAAAGAAACTTAAATTTGATATATTATGTGTGACTTTTTAGTCAACGACTTTGTGATTCAATTGGTTTAACAGTTCAGGTTCTTAACCGGTTCTCATCATGGGGCAAATTAACATGTAAGCACAAGACCCAAACAGGTGTGGTTAGTTTTATGGCTGATTTACAAACGTATGGCTTTTGTAGTGTAACAGAAATTAAATCAGGGGTTCCTCAGGGGTCTGTTACTGGTCTATTACTCTTTAACCTTTACATGCTCCTCCTTGGCACTATCATAAAGAATCGCAATATATCCTATCATACTTACACAGATAGTACACAGCTGTACTTATCATTTTCTGATGATCTAACCTCTGTTCACAAACTGATGCACTGATGACATTAACAGTTGGCTGTCTAGAAACGTTTTAAACATGGAAATCCTTGTCCCTGGTCCAAAAAGTCAGAGAGAGAACATTTTTTCATATTTATCATCCCATACAGTCTCACTCTGTTTCTGTCTGGAACTTCTGCAGCATTTTGGACAGTGATCTCAGTTTTAATAATCACATCAATAAGGTCACCAGAACTGCTTTTTACCATAGATATTTATACAGAATTCAAAAAAGTTAGAAAAACCTCAATCACAAACTAACTGAGAAATTGGTCCAAGTGTTCAGCAAGTTGGACTACTGCTCTGTTTGCAGGATTATCCAAATTACTAGTAGGACAACTTCAGCTTGTCTAGAGTGCAGCGGCGAGTCCTGACACGAAAATTGGACCATATTACCCCAGTGCTAAAGTCACTTCACTGGATCCCAGCTGAATACAGAATTACATTTAAAATCCTTCTATTAGCTCATAAAGCTCTCAGTGGTTTGTATAGTACACATCTGACTTCCTCCAGTAAACTTCTGACTAGCTCAGTGTCTATTACTCAGTCGTTCCTCTCAGATTTTCAGTTGCAGATCTTTTAACTGTCTCCAGAGATAAATCTAAGTGTGCTGAGGGTGCTTTCACATATGGTTGTGTTCTGGATTAAGCTGTCTACAGACCTAAATTTAATCTAATCTGTGTTCAAAAACTTTTTGTTCTCACAGGCTTACAGTTAATAACTGTGTGCATGGATGTGCACTTTACTTCGTTTTGTTTTCATCATAAACTTGCATAGGTGTTTTTATCTTCTGTGTAAAACTTATTGAGTTAAAGCAGGCCTATGATCAAATGTGCTATATAATTAAACCAGACATTGACGTTTGGTACTCAGAGTAAAGCTTTTTAGTTTTGTTAATTTAACAAAGTAGAAAAATTTAAAGACGCAATTCTCTTTCATGAAATACTAAATAAATACACAACAATTTATTTTGGATTTTTCAAAGAAGTCAAAGCAAACTACAACAAAATATAACTAATAATGTGTTATCGTTCCAAGCAGATGTGCAAACCACTACACTACGGAGCCAGCGTCAGTAATAATGTGTATGTAGTGCAATTTTAAGCAACTTAAATTAAGTAGGGCCAAGCAACAAAGTTAATCTAGGGTCCTCCTGGTATGTTTAGATAATGTTAAGTGTTTTATATATACACATATATGCACAGAGTATAGAGTTATAGATATGTTTATGCTTCTTGCTATCCTTCGGGGTCTCAATAAAAGATGGATTCATAGAGTTTATTATACTTTTTTAATTAACAGGAATACTCGTTAAACGGTTTACATTGTTTTATCAGAAGGTGTCGCTGTGGATCTCCTGACTGCACAGGTAAACACCAGCTGTTTCACGCAGCTAGCTGCTCCGGCTACATGCTGTCAAACAGGTTGCTTAGCCTGGTTAGCCATGCACACACTTTTGGGGTAGATTATTGTCTGTACACTCGTAGATGGAGCTTGGCGACTTGTATGAGCTTATATGAAGATGCGAAGATGTGACTTCAACTAGAGTAATGGACAAGGTATTTTATGAAAATGAATGCCACATTTGTTCTTTTCTTTTGCTAGCTAGTTAGCTAGAGAGCTAACGAATGTTAGTTTTTGCAGCTGAGCGTGAGCTAACTCTTAGCAAACTTTAACTGTTAGTTACACGAGCGAGATACTGCTAAGACAATGTGTGGTTTGAACACAATAATGAGCTAATAGTTCAGTTATACTGTAAGACATTTTCAACCCGGCGGTTACTATTGTGCAACATAAGCTGGATGTTCTGTAATCAAGTGGAGATGGATGCGTTTCGTTTTTAGTGCATTGTGAGTCCAAAACATCGATATAGCGGTTAGTCTTAAGCTAAATTTCTTTATGCAAATTCTACTCGAATTTGGAATTAATGGCGTGATTATCAAAGGTCAAACACCAACACGCTGTTTGGAGGCAGAAGAAAAAACTGTCATGTGCTTTGCTTTCCAGAACTTTGACCACAGACACCAGAGGGGGTCCAGGAAACCGCCTGCAGAGCCCCACACATCAGCATCAGCGCAACCTCTGATTCTACCAAACCCTTATACCTCCGATCAGATTTCAAGAGGGTAGGAAGTTATAATTTTCAGGGGTATTTAATCATTTGGCTTTTCATCAGGTGCTCATGTTGTTACAATTTGTTAAGAAGCCAGTCAGGTCTGAGCCCAAAACCAGCAGGCAGAGGAGGAGATGCACCGAGGAGTCATGGCTACAGCAGCAGCCGTCCTGTTAGAGAGGCCAGTGATAACGTCCTACAGAGCAATAGGACCAAACAGGATCCCCAAGCTAAGGTTGGTTTTATTTTTATTTACAGAAACCTACATATAAACAAACTTTATTCATGAAGTAAAGTGTTATTTTCTAATTAATCTTCACAGATGCCTCAAAACAAAAAGGACTCTCAAGGAAAATTCATGGGCAAAACCTCAGTGGACATGCAGAAAAAAGGTAAGTGGCGTACATGGTATTAACTTATTTTGGGAATAATTTCTTGGTTCAGATGCTAGTTTTTGTATTGAATGTACAAACAAAATATTTTTAACATTGGAAATAATTTTGTGGTCAAGTGATTCCCAAATATCCCATGGGATTTGGTATCTGCACGTATTACTGCCATATACAGGAGGGCAAAGAGACACGAATGATCGGCTAACTTGTGAGTTGCCCACACATTAAAGGCTTGGTTATTGCTTTAGTGCCTTGGGCATGTTTGTGCACCAACCTTGTTGCTTTCTCATGTTACTCAAACTCCAAGTAACAACCTATGCCGATGACCCAGCAGATATTATTGTGAAAGCTGCCTGTCTTACAGCTTCACGCGGATTTGGAATGTCTGTGGCCCTTAGCCTAAGTGCATAAACCTCTGGGAGCAGTTTGGCAATGTTAATATGGTGCCAAGAAAGCTAAAGGGGCACAGAGAGATTCTGAAAGAAGCTTGGCCTACTTTAAAGGAGCTCTACAGCTGAAGCTGCAAGACCATTTAATGGTTTGTGTGTAATGATATCTTGCAAGATCTAGATGCTGCAGATAAACTGTAACTGTCTGAAATGCAATTAAAGAATGAATTGACAACATTCATTTGAGATGATGTAGAGCAAAGGTGTCAATACAGTGAGAATTGCAGTCATTCTTGATGAGATTCTTTAGCATATTGTTGTCTTATAGATTTTGTTTGTTTGTTCAGTTTTGGCCAGTGATGAACAGAATTGTAGTATGTTGGGCACAAAATGTTTAAAACCCTCTGCTTTATGTAAATACCTCTCCTTTAATATTTCATAATTCATTCCCAGGTTTTAAAGCTACAAGATCTGCCCCAACCTCTGCAGGGAAGCCAAAACCAGCACAGACAAATTCTGTCCCATTTGAAGTGAAGATGGCTGATTTTCCAGAATTGGGTGGTGTTTCAGTGGCCAAAGCAGCTCCTCCTGTTCAGAAAGAGTGCTGGGGTCCTCCCAAACTCACAAGCTCCCAAACTCCAAAATTGGCATCTTCTTGGATGGTCAGCTCATGGGAATATCAAATGTTAAGCTATGTGACAGCTCTTGCACATTACAGAAAGCTATACTCATGATGTTGGTGCTGCTGTAATTTTTTGTTGCATAGTCTGGCAGCAGAGGATCTCCAACCCTACCTGGTCCTCAGGTGTGTGCCACTAATGCCAAGCCAGAAAGCCAAGTTATCCAAGCAGGTAGGCTCAGATTTACTCTAGTCTGTCTTTCAGCGATTTTAAGGCAGTTTTAAAAATATTTCACACGTTGATTATCTTTATTTGGTGTGTGTGCACAGTCCAACCGGTGGTGACGTCCTGGGCTAACATTGCCTCTCAGCCTCCGAAGAAACTTGATCCCAATGACAAGACAATCAGCTGTAACAGTATGCAGGTATGATGCATGTTTTAGATTCTCAACAATTATACCAGATTCCTAGGCAATTGGCAAATCTTAACAATCCGTAAGTGAATTAATTATTTTCATGAGGTAAGCCTACCATTTATTTTCTGGCTCTTATCTGGGCCCATGTTTTGATTTCAGCTGGAGACACAAGTCCCTTCGGGGATACCGTTTGGAAGGGCATCATGTTTTGCCAAATCGACACGGGATGCTCCTACGTCCCGTGTGACAAGAGAGCAGCCGAAATTAACTTCTATAAATAAATTTTGAGTAAATATATCATAAAAAGATTTAATTGGACACTTAAAAGTTAATTTGAGTATTATAGGTGTGAACACATTTTTTTTTTCATTATTCTACAAGAAAGGCGAAATAGCCCTCTCACTACCCCTTTTCTGCGTTACACTTTATATACTTACCACATTATACACTCATACCTACATAAGAGTGTGTGATGGAAAGAAATCTGTAAGGCTGTAACTAAATATTACTACATATATCTGAATATTTGTGAGTTGTGTATGTATTCGTTTTGTTGAATTGGGGCGATTGTGGCTCAAGAGTTGAAAGTTCGCCTTGTAATCGGAAGGTTGCCAGTTCGAGCCCCGGCTCCGACAGTCTCGGTCGTTGTGTCCTTGGGCAAGACACTTCACCCATTACCTACTGGTGGTGGTCAGAGGGCCCAGTGGCGCCAGTGTCCGGCAGCCTCGCCTCTGTCAGTGCGCCCCAGGGTGGCTGTGGCTACAATGTAGCTTGCCATCACCAGTGTGTGAATGTGGATGACTGAATGTGTAAAGCGCTTTGGGGTCCTTAGGGACTAGTAAAGTGCTATACAAATACAGGCCATTTACCATTTGTTGCCGTGTTTTGTTTTGTTTTTAAATAGCTCACTCTTGGCTCTTGATGTCTCTCGCACAGCAGTAACCATCACACTTAATTTCACTTATGCACCATCCATTTAGTAGCTTTTTTGTAATTAACCTTTTTATTAGGTTTTCTTAAATGTAGGTCGATTTTTCACACTAATTAAAAATATGTGGATAGTATTACTCTGCAACAGAGCTCTCACTGCTCTCCCGTTACACTCTGTATCCACAGAGGCTGAGCACCATCACAGAAAAAGCAAGAAGCAACAAATGTTCTCTCGAAGCTTTCATTTTATTTATAAATGTAAATGAAATTACAGCATGCCAAATTGCAATAGTTATAAAATCTGACACAGCACACCTGCTGAAGTCCAAGGTAATTACAGTTTTTTAATGCCATATCAGCTTGTCCACCTGACATGCGTCACAGTCATAGTGATAATTATGCCTCGTTTCACTTTCCACATTTGCAGCTCCATTTGCAGGTTTGCAACTTGTACCTCTTTTGCAATCAGCACAGAGGGACTCGTGTTCTAGCTCTGAATGCGGCACACCTCCCTCCATTATGTTCAGGAAGCAGCAGCACCCTGACATAGTTTGTGCACTGTGTGAGACACATATAGCTTATAACCGTCTAAGTCATTCTAGCACAGGCAGATATAGTTGCATAAAGTATGCATATGATTATGTTGTCTAACCGCCCTCCAAAAATCTTTTTCAACTTTGTTTGAACTTTCATTGTGGATTATCATAAATCTATTGATCTAACAACAACAAACAATGCCATTCACAACAGCCATGGAAATCTCTAACATTATCAGCACAGTCTTTAGAGTGCAGTACTTAAAATTGTGTTCAAACTATGGCAACACTGGAGAGTTTCTGTGAAGAGCTGTTCTTTATTTACAAAGACATTGTAAACCAAACCAAAATAAGCAAGGCAACAGAGTAATGAGGCCAAAGAGACATTATTTGTGAACATCAAGCAAACATGTAATTATAGACACACAGACTATATATCATGGTGTTTACATCCTTGATATAACAGAATTTATCAAATGGGTTGCTCAACATAACAAAAAGCTAAACTTTCACAGTAAGCCTTTATAATTTCATGGGACGTTTGAGCTTTGTCATTTTTATATCTTATCAGATTGAGAGCATGGCTGCACAGGAGGAAGAGATAGCTCCAGGGAGGAAAAAGCGAAAGAAAAAGAAGAAGGCGAAAAGTAGCAGTGAGGGTGCAGGAGGTGACTCTTCAGAGCCGGTGATTTCTCAAGAGCCTCCAAAATTTGAGGTGAAGAAAATCTGAGTTGTGAATTTTTGTTCAACTCGTTCTGTTGCTAGGAGAAGGATTACTTCTGTTGTATGGTTTTCTTTGAAGGATGAAGAGGAGTTCCCAGACTTGACTCTTGCTTTGTCAAAGACTGAAAGGTTAATAACCAGCAGCAATACAAAACTATGCAATGAGGTACTCATCATTTCATCATATATATATTTAATATTAGTCTAAAATTAAATTTATAGTGTTTTTTATGATAGTGATTTTTACATTCTTTTTAAGGAAAACCAAAGAGAAGGAAGTCAGCATCAATCTGCTGACCAGAACCAGGTAAAATCACCCGCAGCAAAGACACAACCCACTGAAACAGGAAAAAAAGGACAGGTTTGTGTCTTGTGTACATTAAAGTTAACCTTTAGAATTGGAAACAGGTTTGACTTTAATGTGCAGTTCTGTTCTTGTTTACTTGATTTCTAGAAAAGCGAGAAAGCCTCTGGGAAAAAGAGCAAGGTTCCTATGCAACTGGACATCGGAAACATGCTGGCCACCCTGGAAAAGAAGCAGCAGTCTCAGAAAGCCAAGCAGGACGCTAAGCCAGTTATTCTCACAGGTTGGTCAGGTTGGCTTGATAGATATCACTTTATACTTTGTTTTGAAGAATAATGCTAATTTAAGTAGTTTCCTAACCCCGATCTTGGAGTGCATGCTATCATAACCTGATGAAAAATAAGTATTCCTGTATGTGTAGTTGGTGGAGGACTACCTGTTGTTCAGAAGCAAACATCTGCCCAGAAGAAGCCTCTCTGGCAGCAGGATAAAATTGCACACAATCCCCTCGATTCAACTAGTCCTTTGGTAAAGAAAGGCAAGCAAAGAGAGGTACCCAAAGCAAAGAAACCAACTCCTCTGAAGAAGGCAAAGTTCATTTATTTACTATGCAATAAAGACAAATATAATCAATTCTATGAGAATTAATTTCAGCTGTGTAGCTCTGTTTATAGACTTGAACTCATGTTTTGGTTCCTCAGGTCATTTTGAAGGAGAGAGAGGAGAGGAAGCAGAGGCGTTTACTGGAGGAGAGAGGACTGCTGCCTGAAAGCGAGTATAAACTTGCGAGTAACTGTACAGAAAAAGAGCAGTGTGATGCAAACGCCACAGGTCAGAGCATGCAGTGAAATAATTGCTGCCAGTATGCTTTGTTCTAAGCTGTTGGAAACGAATGATTGCAGCTAATATTTTAATTTTGTGATTTTCAAACCATAGATGAGGCTGACTCTCCTGCAGAGGCACTTGATGAATTAAACGACACATGTCAGATCATGGGAGAAGCTGAAGAGACGGACAAAAATGAGACCGAGACCATACAGCAACAAATCCCCTCACCTCAGTCATACCCAGCACCTAAAATCCACAGCAGAAAATTCAGAGAGTAAGACTGCCAAAGCTGCATGCTTCACTGCATGACCAGTCACAAGTTGATGTTGGTTGCTTGCACCCTGAGTATATCGCGTTTCCATTTTCATTTGCATTTCAGTTATTGCAGCCAGATGCTGAGCAAAGATGTGGACGAGTGCGTGATGTTGCTGCTAAAGGAGCTGGTTCGGTTCCAGGACCGCCTGTACCAGAAGGACCCCATGAAGGCCCGCATGAAGAGGCGGATCGTGATGGGCCTTAGGGAGGTCCACAAGCACCTCAAACTCAGGAAGATCAAGTGTGTCATTATCTCACCTAACTGTGAACGCATCCAGTCCAAAGGTACTATAAGACCTGATAGCTGGCTTTCAGTTTGGAAACTAGGAATTCTGAACGTTTTCTTTAAATTTGGGCCAGTCCAACTTTCATGTTCTTTGCATTGTTACTTTAAAATTCAAGTCTAGGCTATGATCATCAGGAGTTATATGTATACATCCCAATTCTTTATGGTCACTTAATATTTTTAAACATGTCCATTACAGTTTCAGAACTTCATTATCTCCTTTTTTCTAGTTTTATGCTATTGCTTTTAAAAAGCACACTATTCCCAGTTGTCATTTCAGAAAGGTTTTTTGGTCTTAAAAATCACAAATTAGAGAGAAGACAAAATGGAGATTTATCAAGCAACATGGAAAAGCGAGAATTGTCATATAGTCTTTCATAAATGTGATCCTGGGAGAGCTGTGACGTACAAGGAATGCTTACAATTGCATGAAAAGGGCAAAAATATCACCTTTCACAGGCGGCCTGGATGAGGCTCTCCACACAATCATCGATACATGTCGTGAGCAGGGTGTGCCGTTCATATTTGCACTGTCTAGAAAAGCTTTGGGACGCTGTGTCAACAAGGCCGTGCCTGTCACCCTGGTCGGCATCTTCAACTATGATGGTGCACAGGTCAGGGTTATTGTTATGCAAATGTACACACAATTATTGTTTTAAGATGACATTAATAGGTAATTTCAAATGAGCTGAAAACTTTCGTACCTACAGGATTATTATCACAAGATGATCGAGCTGTCTTCTGAGGCCAGGGCAGCCTATGAAGGGATGGTGTCAAGTGTGGAGCAGAGAGACCAGGCAGAGGCAGAGCTTGAAACAAACACTGAGGAACCTGTGCCTGACCCGGATGTAACAGAGCCAGAGGAACCACAATACAGTAAGTAACTGTAACATTGGATAGCGATGATATTGCTCTGTCTAGTAAAAAACAAAGTGTCTCTAACAGTAATCGTGAAACAGTAAAAAAATAATTACATATTGTCTTCCTTTGTCAGTAAAAATCTGGAAGAAAATGTTGGAGGAGGAGTATAACCACACATTAATGGACTTTGAGGTGGAGCTGCGGTCCATGCACCTGGACAATGAATGTACTGAAAACACTGATGATGAAGAGAGCTAACAGTTGTGAAGCCTTTTGTGCCTGAAAAATGGATCCCCTTATTTCTCATCGTACTGGCAGAAAAAGAGCCTTCCAAGGCTACAGTGCTGCAGGTGTTTCTCAAACTGCGGCTCGCAGCTTTCCAGGACTTTGCCAGTATCGTGTTAGTGCTTATTCCAATTATTTATGATTTCTTGTGAGGTAAATCACCAACTTAGTAGGGCTGAACTTGAAGAGATCCCACAATCTGAATGATCAGCAGCTTCACGACCGTGTGTAGAGGATGTTAAGGGGATGTATGATGATTTAACACTGCATTTTTTTTCTTTATAATAAACTTTAGTTCAAACGATTTTGACATTATAGTGTCATTTTACATAAAGAAATGACATTTTCACATAGTGACATTCCTTGACTCCAGTAAAATTTGAAGGTTTTGAATAAAGAGTTGTGTATCATTCTTTGTAAACATGTGGAGTAAGTTCAAGATTGCATATTAAAAGAATTAATGGTTTAAATTTACCTTCTTTTATTTTGCCATGACACTGAAGTTACACATTAATTTAAAAACAATGATAAACCAATGTTTATGTTCTTCTCCAATGTTCTCATTCATGTTATATAGCATATGCTGCATACTGTCTGTACACAAGAAATCAACATAAAGCAGTGTATATTAGAATATATATACAATAAACATACCTGTGATTTGCTTAGAGTGCATATGACACAGTCATTAATTTCTTTTTAATACAGACTTACTTTTGTGACTGTCACACTGCTTAGAATTGGTATTTAGCATTTAGCATATGTAGCACAACCTTCAGTAGGGTTTAAATAAATTTGATTTTATTACTGAAGAATCCACTTGGATGAAAGGTGAAACAAACTGCTTAGACTTTCACTCATGTTAATAAGTTTGTTTGTTTTTTACATTTTCAAAATTTTACCCACAAATACAAATCTTTTCTACACATTTGGTTCAGTTTTTGGCAGGTTCACACAGGGTAATAAACTTAAACCATGCAATATTTCACAGGGGCAAAAAGCTAAAATCCATTAAACTGCGCTTTATTTTTTAAAAGTAGAAACCAAGCTTGGATTTTAATATTCGAATGACTGACTGATATTACATGGTTTTACATTTTAGTCATTACATTTAACAGCAACTACTACAAAATATTAGCAGGTAGCTCTTGACTTTTTATTGCAATGAAAAGGAAAATGAGAATCTGATGTGCTAGGTGACAATCGCAGCAAAATTGCAATGGAGGGAGTGCAGATGAATGTGACCTAATTCTGATATGTTTTTCATTTATGGAAAGTAGGCATGAAGTTTTACAAATGTTTTGTGTAGACAAGCTTCAAAGTGGTCCATCTTATACAAGATTGGAATCAAGTTCATGCAAAGTAGTTCTGAGATCATTATCACTTTTGTGATTCATGCCAGGGAGAAATGCCAAAATAGATTTCATAACAGACATTTTCAAATGTAACAAAATGCATTATGTTGCTCTGGGGCTCATACATTTGAAATTGTTTTGCAAGGAAACAGTGTCATGTGACGTGTGTGTTGTGTCAAATTGTCTGTGCATAGTCTTAAGTTTAAGATGAATGTTTAGTCTCATTCATTTAATTTGTGTATTGTTTGTGTAGATTTGTTTAAACCTGAAAAAGTTGTCATAAACTGACAAATGTGATTTCTCACATTTGTTATAATCGAATTATACAGATAATAAATATTTAGTAAGCTCCAAAAGTGCTGATAAGTATGTGTATCCACACTGTCAAGATGCTTTTTTTTTTTTTTTTTTTTTTTTAAATGGTATATATTTTTTTGACAAATACTTAACTATAGAAAAGATACTTTCCCAAGAACAATGGAATTACATTATTTTGTGATCAGTTTGAAGTCCATTAATTTTCTTTAAATTTCAATTTTAAGTGTCATTTGTGTAATCACAACTTAATAAGTGAATCTTTAATGCACAAGAGTAGAGGCTTGAGTACATTTGGCTGAGATACCCCCAATATTATAGAGAACAGCAAGTCTGCAACCTTCAGTTATCTTCTCAAATAAACATAAAAATATTTGTTCAATCAGCATTTATCAATAAATGCTAAACGGAAGTAAGAATCACTGCCGCTCCTACAGAATTGATCAGGTTGTAATGAAACATGCACACGGTGATCACCTAATGGGTTTTTATCCAAATTGTTCTCAAGGTCACATTTGTCATTTTACAGGCAATAACCTGTGACTGGTGATGGATTGTGAGCTGGATGAGCCGATACATCTTTGACCTTCTGGTTTTGGTATATAAAAATTTATTTAAAAAAAAAATAAAATAAATAAAAATCACCTTTTTTGAGGTGAATATAAGCTAGTTCATACATGAACCAGTTATGAAAAATGAAATGTATGGTAGCCAAATGCTCCTTTAGACCATAGAGAGTATTTAAGATTCAGGCAGGGAAGAAAAAATGAACAAACAATGATTTTTCCATATTTTATTATGTCATCTCTGTTAACCCATTTGAACTCTGCTCCCTCTGATCTCGCCCTCTCTCCCCATCTCTCTAATTGAGTGTTTAAAAAAAACAAAAAAAACAAACACACACAACAAAAAGTTTCTTTTAAATTCCACATGTAATTAGCTTTTTTACATGCGTAATGCATAAGTATTACCTATCTGGAAGTCCTTGTATTATGTTACAAGATGCATTTTAAAAATCTAATTATAAATTTACATCAGTAAAACACAAAAATCTATTCTTTAAGTCTGAAGCTTTTTTAATGATACCATATCTTGTAAAATAATCACTTGATTAGACTAGGCACAGGTTCATATGCAGATTTGCTTGTCAGTTACAGCACAGTATGCCACCACTTTAAAAAAATAAATACAAATGTGCCAGTAATATTGTGTTGTAATGACTTTAGAAACCTGGATATGCTCTTTTTTGTGTACATTCTTGATCATGAAACAGACCACAATTTACCTGCCAGAGGCAAACAAAAAAAA